TTTGTTAAATAATACGTGCAAAAATGATTCTACATAAAAAATTAAATTAGTAATTAAATTAAATGTATAAAGTTTATAACACTTAAGCACTTAATAAATATAAACTTTATCTGTCGTTTTTCAGTCATGTTGCATGAGCACTTTGTAATGAAAACAATTTGGCAGCAATCCAAATTTAAAGATACTGTTACTAAAGTGTTGAAGTTAAAGTACAGTCTTTAATTAGATATACATATGTATCACACGTTAAGATTGATTTGTGTTCATATATATTCTTTAAATTTGTATCATAACATTATATAGGGGCAAAGTAGTATTAAAAAAATTGATTGAAAAATGTAATTAATTTATTAAGAGCTTATCACACAATAACAATTACTTAACATGTGCAATCTTTTCTGATTTTCATGTATCTAACACCAGCAAAATGTGAAATGATTTACATTGCAAACAATATATAATGTAACATATTATATGCATTTGGAAACATGAGGCAATTATAGTATAAAAATTTTATTACATATAAAAAATTTATATGAATATTTGACTAGATTAATCCTCCTCTGCTTCCAAATTTATACGGCTCCCAAATTTTGCATACAGTTGTGTTTTTAAATCAGTTACAATACTTTTTAGATCAGCACATTTATTTTCCAACTCTGAAATTTCCATTTTCTTCTTGTCCTTGAGATCATTTAAATAACTCTGCAAATATTCAGCAAAATTAATAAAAGATTTTTATTTTATAAAATAATACTCTCTTACATATTTTATCACTTTACAAAAAGAAGGTTGCAGCAAACTTTGATCCCAAGATACAAATAAAATCTCTTATTGAATTACATACCTGTGTCTTTTCCATAGTTTCATAGACAAAAACTTCACCAATGTAATATGGAATTTTCGCATCTTCATCCAAAAGCACTAATTCATCACATGCATCTTCCAAACTCTTTAATACATTCTGCAGAAAGCAATTAGAAGTATGTAAAACTGTGCATGTCCAAATAAGGTTACAGTTAACACGAATTAATTATTAGTGCTAAACTGATTTGTACCTGTTTCATTTTCAATTCTTCTTTTAAATCATCCATCTTAGCATTTTGTCTTGCAAATTTATTAATTTTTTGTTGATCTTCATATGTAATATAAACATCGGAATCCTATAATATGATATAGGTTAGATCTAAATTTTGGTAATATACATACATAAGTAATTTATATTCGTATTTACCGGTTGAAATCCCGATTGGACATTTTTTCGTGCTGACATGCTTATGTTTTATTTTCACGTTATAATTAATCTATTCTTCAACTCTGATCCAAGATAAAAATTCTTTCTTTGATAAAGCTGGTATCCTTAGAAGCGAAATAAAGTATAACATTCGATTGTTGAAAACGCGTCATTAAATGTATTCTTTTTAAAGGCGTACTGTGCAACTTACGATATTTACCGAAGAAACATGCTTTTTAAAAAATTATTTTATTTTTCCCTTAGTTATAAATAAAATTAATAATCAAGAATCTAAAAGTTAGTGATAATAAATATTATTAATTTATTTATCTGCATTTTCATATCAATAAATCTCAGAACATTTGTTGTCAAGTTTAGTTGACAACATTAACAACAAATTTTTTTCATGTAAAGAAAGTTAGGAATAGTAAGTTGGTAGCTATTTTTTTATAAAACATTATTGAATGTATATAATGTACAGTTATCTTTGATACGAATTATTTATTGCAAACTTTACAAATAATTTTAAAAATGCAAACTTATAAAATAATATTTTTATACTTTGAACATTTTTCGTTCGATTTAGATTCAGCCATAAAATTACAAATCCTTATAATATAAAACATTTCTTAGTATCCTTATTAATACATTTATTTTTTCATATACATAAGATACATAAATTACAAAGAAATAATGCAATTTTACAAAGAAGAAGAAATATTATAAGAAAGTTAATAAAGTCATGGAATAGATAATGCTATTTATATCAATCATATTTGGTTTTTATGAATTATCAACTGTTTCTTTTGATAAATTTGTGTCTTCTATTGTACTTTCTACATGTGAACTTTCTTCTTTATTTTTTCCAGAATCTGCTTTCTAAAAGTTTCAAAGATGTTCATTTTTATATACTGTCAGCTGAATAAAATAAAACAACTTAAGATAATCCATGCTCTTACCTTTAAGTCATTTGTGGGTTCTTTCATATTGCATATTTCTAGTAAATTGTATTTTCTGTACTTATAATAATTTGGAGCAATAGATAGAAGACAAACACCGCGTATTACTTCAACTATTACCGCAAGTTCCGGATTTCTTAAATCTGTTTTATTTCCAGGATTCTTTTTGTTTATTATATCTGCTAGATCTTCAATGACTTCCTCTCTGTGTATATTATTGTTGCTGTGTCGACTACAATCAAATAGAATTGAAATGTATGTTTATGCTAAAAGTTGCATATGTTATAAACAATTTGAGTATTGAAAAACATACTTAAATACAATCCCAAATGTTTTTGGTTCTTGTGCAAAGTATTTTTCAAGCACTACATTTGCTTTTGACTTTATATCATTCATATTTGCTTTACAGACAGCTTCAATTGGAAGTAACCTCAATAAGAATCGTGAATGTTGCTCTTTTGTTTTATGTAATTTAGTGATAATTTTAGTAACTAATTCCAAAGGATTTTTTAAGGTGCTTCTTATAAAAACTACATTCTTCACACCAGTATCAACTACCTAATAAAAAAATGATAAACAGTTAAACACTGTCCACAGAAATAAAAATATATTTTAAAGTATCACCTGAAATCTTCTGGCAGTTACTGGTTTTGCATATTCTGCTTTTAATTCATTTATTTCTTTATTTAAAGCAGTTGATATATCATCTTCATCATTTTTTTCTGTTTCATCAATAGAATCATCTGGTTCTATTGTAGATACTTTAGTACTATCTTTATCACAGTCCTTGAATTAAAAAGAATTTGATATCCTTGTATCTCTACATGTCTTTATATCATTGTTGAATTCCACTATACCTTTGTGATATCTGGTCCATAAATTTCATCAGCAAATTCGTTAAGTAATTTATAAGCATCACGTACACAATCTTTCTCATGGAAATTACATGTACATAAGAAACCTATCATACCTGGCTCCAAGTAGAAATGTTTATGTTTTTTTTGGTTACTTCCATTATTATGATAGTAGTTTTTTCGTTTTTGAACGCTCATGTTTGTTATAAATTCCTATATTATGAAAGTATATACACATATTTAGTTCAAATTATAATTATTGAGAGCCTCCATGTAACATAATTAACAAATACTTATTGTAAAATGTTGTTTAAATTCAAACAATAAATATTCCTGTATTTTTTAACATCAAATACTTAAATGCAAAAACTTACTCTCTTATGTTAAAAATATAATTTTCATATAATTGTTAATACTTCGTATCAATTATCCTTTTTTCCTTATTCGGTTTCTTTGACGTGTTTACAATTAAAGATACGGTCACGTGAGTCTGAAGTTGCGATCAAATGTCCAAGATCAATATCACAGGCAGCCATGCTTTTAAAATAAAATAACTATGTAGTTAACACATTCTGCGCTTTTATACTAAAGCGGTTATTTTAAACGATAAGAGTAATATAATAAAAAAGTAGAATTAATAAAATACACTTTTTTATTTTCGTATACAATTATTAAAAATAAATGCAATTAAATTTATAATCAATTACATCAGAATATATTATAATTTAAAGAAGTTCTTGCATTAAGACAGTTCGACGCACAGCGTTGCTAAAACCTTCTTTATATTTATACCACACACCATGTTTTGTTAAAAAATCACACGAATTAGTGGATTCTTTATCCGACTTGTTTTGTTTATCTTGTGTGGTATTCTTACTATTTCTTTTTTCTCTTCAATTTTTTTAAACTGTTCCTTAACATTAAATACGCTAGACATATCTTTGCTTTCACTAGCATCGACCTTTGATTCTGTCGACTTTTTTGTTATATTTTGTTTTGAGGTACTTTCATATTTGTTTATAGTAGAATTTGTTGTATTTTTTGTCATGTTTGCAGCTCTTCGTAATCGTTCAGCTTCCAATTCTTGGACAATTATTTGTTTCACTGCATATATCAGTGAACGGCGATACTTACAATTAGGAAAAATGCCAATTTCAAATATATCGCTGAAAGAAATGCAATAAAGACCTAAATTTTATTTAAAAGATTGTTATCTGTTTTTGAACTTACGGATCTAGTTTGTAGTCATAAGTTCCATCGAGATTTTTTTCCTGAGTAAACGTGAGGCCAAAATCAATTAGAACATTGACTAGTCGAGCAATATCATCCTTTTCTTTAGCAGAATGTAAATGACCAGAAACTGTGCGCAATCGTGGTGATAGCAAATCCGGAAGAAATGGAGCAATATCAACAGTTAAGACTGCACTATTACAACCACTGCTTCGTTGAACAGTTGTTAGAATTCCTACGCTTTTTGCTTGTTTTTGATACACCTATGAAAGATGTAATTTTTGTACAAAATTTGTAGTTTTAAGTTGTACTATATTTCTATCTTTAATACTTGTGATACTTACTTCATAAAAAATAGAAGGATAAGATAATTTAACAGTTCTGGTTTTAGCAAAATATAAGTGCCACGCAATGAACGCGTAATTTGTGTAAGGCATAATAGACCAAGTTTGCAGATTTGCAATGAACGATACAATTTCATCAAAGAACTGAAACCATTGTAAACACAGTACTATGTAGTTCAACTTTTCATTGCAAATTTCTGGATAATTATGAAATATACCCTGCGCTAATTTCTCCGATTCTCCTGAAATAAAAAAATAAATGTATTAGATGCTTTCAAAATAAGTATTATTGAAATTATTCAAAATGTTCTTACCATTTTGTACAGTTTTTAATACAAGACGAACTCTTTCTGGAATAGGAAGTATTCCACTCTTATTCATAGGTATAGTTAATATTTGCCTCCACGAATCAAATAATCCTTTCTGACTGTCCTTTAATGCAAAACTTAAGTTTTCTCCTAAATTAATACCACCCGTATATTGTAGAGCTCCCAAACACGATCTAATGTCACAGCCAGATATTTCTACTAATTTTAAGAGTGCATCAGAATTTACTTTTAGATTTTCTTTTTGTGATATTTCCATTAATCTATCTGCAAGTCTTGCTGGGCTCGCTTCTGGTACTGGTATAATAAGGGCGACAGCTCTAAGAGCTCTACAATAAAAGTAAAATGAATATAATATCTATCCACAAGAATGACATTTGTTTAGTAATATGACGATTATATAAAAGATTTACCTTAAGGAAGGAGTGTATGGCTCATTACAAATGCATATTACAGGGCGATGACAAACATTTGATTGTTTATCACCTTTTGTTTTATCTTTTTTACCCTTCGGAATTAATTTACCTTGCACAAACTTGAGAAGAAGATCAATCGATGCTGCGGGAGCTCCGTCTATTTCATCTAAAACTAGACAATTCGGTCGAGGATCATTTCCCATTACTGCTTTCATTTGTGTTGATGAAAGAAGGACTTGTCTATATGTAGCAAAAAATAACTGCATAAACTTTCAGTATCACTTAGATGTCAATTTTAATTACAAATTGTTGTATTACCTAAAAGTATCTGGACTTCTTTCATCACTAGCATTAATTTCTACTACATTGTAACCAGCATGTTTAGCTGCTAAATGAGCTAATGTGGTTTTTCCTAATCCAGGAGGCCCACTAAGTAGTACTACTTTCTGAACTGGAAAACCTTTACTATCTACTTCCTCAAAAGTCTTTTCTTCCAAAAATTTTCTGTTTCTAAACATAGAATTGAATTTTTTCTTTTTGCTTTGAACATAATTTCGATTAAATACTACTTTATCCCAAAGCTTGATCCAATGCAACAAAAGCCTATTCACACTTTCATTTGAAAGTAAATCTACATAAGATCTGGGTCTATATTTATCAACCCACAGTTCATCATTTTCAGTAGTTTTTGTAGTAGAATGTTTGGAGGTTTCATAACTAGCACGTTTAACATTTTGTATTATCTGTAAAATAACTTTAAAATCTTAGAAAATTCGAATTAATGTTATAATATCTACTTAAGAGAAGAAATAATACATGTTATTTATATTCCTTACAATTTCCTCAGCTTCAGCTTTAAGCTTATTATATGGTATGGACAATAAATTGGAATTCATGTATGTACTTGTTATTAGTTTACTTGGATTGTTGCTTTTTACTCTTACATATATACGTTGTGCATCATGTGGTCTGGTTACAGCTACAAAATTCCAACGGGGAACCCTCAATGATATTGAATCTTTCTTACTAAAAAAATCATTAATGCACAGTTTTTTATTAAATTTAAATATAAAATTTAATACATTTCTTTTTAACATACTTTTCAATATTTTTATTCTTAGCTGAAACACCTCTGCTATGTTCATGAAATATTCTTCTAGCATCTAATATTGCTTTAATAGCAATTTGGGGTTGATCCCATCGT